CGAGATAAAAACTATAGGTTGCGGTTAGAATGTGAATGTGGCCTTTGAAATGTTCTACTTATTTTTGTTTAAAAGTAGTGAGGATTTTTTGAAATGACTGGAACTTTTTACCCAACAGGCTTTTATTTACTGTATAAGTCTCTTTTCGAACATACTAAAATGGATTGGAGTCGATCATTTGATAGAATGGATATTTCTCTATAAAATGTGATATTGAACTAAACTTGTAGCTTCTATTCCATAATTGTTTTCAAGAGTTCTCTTCAAGACAAAGTCGTTGTCGGTTTTTACAAAGATGAGTTTTTAGGAAAAACAAATATTGAGGTACTGTATCTAAAGGTAAAAGCAAATCTTCAATTAATGCATTTTTTAGGTTAGCTTTTGATCTACAACTTGATATATAGAAATAAAGAATTCAACTTTTAGTATCACAATGCAATAGAAAAAAATATGAAAGTCTTCTCCCCAAATTAGTGTTTTTAGGCTTTGCAAAGATAATATCACTGAAGCTAAATTTCTATATTCATATTCGAAAAGAGCATCCTAACAATTATAGCTTTTCATACTTTCTAGTGGATTAAAAATGAACCAACATTTTGTCTAAAAAAATTTTCAATCATCCATTATTATGAGTTAGCATTTAAATGAGGGATGTCTGTTACATGATATTTAATTATACTAAGATAGTTGGATTATCGATAATTGAAAAAGAAACAGATACAATACAAGGCATATGTTTTTTTTTTTTGATACGGGAAATATTCATTGTGCTACGTACATAATGAAACATTACATTCTTAAGAATAATGTATTATTCTTATCATTTTCAAATATTCTATTAAATCATGATAGATAAAGATATACAAGTCGTTTTACCAAGTATCAATGTCGAATTTTTCTTAGAACTTGACATTGACGGTTTTTGAAGAGACACTATTTATGGGATAAAAGGTAATTTTCAATTTGTGAAAAATTTATATTTCAAATTAAAAAAAAAATTAAATCTATTTTAGGAGATAATCAATATTTGTATTTGTTATTTAAATATACAAAGAATCATTATTCCGAACAATATGAATCAAAAGTGATTCTAAATAGCTAAAGATTTGATCTTGTAGAGAGTAAGATAAATTTCGTTTTGTAAAATAATTAAAAAAAGAAATGTTTATTCATCCTAAAGTATATATGATGATGTTTTACAATAACAAAAGAAACCCATCGAATAGATTATTAAATTTCATATTTGTGTTTATACTATATAAGACATTATAGAATCTAAATATTATTGTATACTTCAGGAAAAAATGTGACAGATTAAGAAACTCTGCCTTATTCACTCTCATTATATCTTAAAATACTATTAAACTTTTCTTATTAAAAATTTCATAACATACGGTAACAGCAATAGATCCAATAAGCATTAATGTAAATACTTGAGCAAATTGTACACCAGCACTAGATTTCGTTGCATTAGTTTGAAGAAGAATAGCTAATGTTGTAACTAAAATAAGTGGTCCCCATAAATCCCATTGTTGTAAAAGTGATGATGATTGACGTGGAATGACAGCATAACCAAATTTACGAATAACAGCTCCAAGATCACCTTGAAAAGAAAATAGAAATTAATTTCTTTTTTTTCAAGGTTTTTTTAAATTTTAAAACTACAAACGTTTTATTGTTTCTAAAACTGGTTCATCAAGTGTTGATAATTCATTTTGATTATTTCGATTTGAAGTTGATGTTATATCACCTTCAATCATATCGATTGTTTGTGAAGATGAACTAAGAAATGGTACTTGATCATTATCAATTGATGTAGCCATGATTTCAGTTACTCCAAAAAAAATATATTAATGAAACTAATGATTGGAAATTGAAAATATTGTCTGGCATATATATGAATCATTGGAATTTTGTTTTTATTTTTCATCATCATGGAGAGCTAAGAGAAGAAATTCATTGGTATAGAATTTCTTCCAATGAATTATCAGAATATTTAATTATGAATTAGCAGTACAAAATCGTTCATCTTTCCATTTCTTTTATTATTGCGCATATTTTTCTTTCTAGAATAAACAGATGTAGAAAAAAATAAAAAGAGATGACTAGCATTTGCATCACTATTTATTAAATAAAGATAGATTTATTTAGGCATGTGATGACAAGCAGAACCGAAATAACGATCAATTATTATTGCAGCAGATGTCCTACTATGAATACAGAAGTACCTTCTAGTTGATTCTTTTTTCTGAGAACAAAAGATACGTTTTTCTTCTGTGTTGCTAAATGGGATAGCGTTGCATGAAGATACATGATTATATCAGAAAAAAAACTTCTCCTTTCAGAAAATATCACGTACAAAGTATTTCTTCATTCATAATAGAACATTTCCTTAAAGAATTCAGTAAGAAATCAACACCTCACACTTTAAATATTTTATATTGTAGACAAAAGCACGTAATAATTCTTATCTCTACATCAAACAAATATTTCATTTTGTGGCTTGGTAAACATCAGAACAAAGAAATAAAGAAAGAAAGTATGAATTATTTTTAAAAAAAAGATATATAATAATTCAAAATATTTTTATAGATTAAAATGAGTTAGAAGAGAATATTATAATGTTTTATTCATTGATTTGTTTTTAATTCATTGAGATATTATTGATTTCATTATATTAGTTAAAATATTTTGAAAGAATTGAAATTTCCTTTTTTTTTTGTTTTTACTTCATAATGCTATGAAATCGTATCTAACCTTCTCTACGGTAATAGATACAATAAATCGAATCTATACTTATCTCTTACTGATAAACAATGTTTTATTTTGAGTCGTTCTCTATAGTATTGAAAACTCTAGGATATGAACGTCAATTATTATTTATAAAATAATATTCTTTTTCTTTTTTTTTTAACAGGAAAAATTTAGAAATATTTTTCTTTTCTTTTAGTATATGTCTTTTGTGTATTTCTTATTGTATTTATATGATCGTTTTATTTATTTATAGATTTGTGTCACTAATGATTATTTATTAGCGTTAAATTTTACGTTCATACACAAAATTTAACAGATTTGATTTTGTTTCCTATTTTTATAATATTATTTTTAATTAGATCTTACTTATAATGTATTATTCTTAATAAAATTATTTATTATTTAACTCTTCATGTATAAAGAATTCTTTTGTCATGTTTAGAATCATATACAATTATCAATCAGCTTAAATTTCAATCAAAAGTTAAGCTTCTATAGTTTATATCAATTTTCTAGATAAGATGTTTTGTGTACTTATTGAATTTAACTATTCGTAAGTTTATATTAGTTTTGAAGCTATCAAAAAGATATAGATCAATCGATTATTGATTAAACTTTATGTCATGCATAATCGAATGTTAAAGTTCAAATTTAAGAATATTACTTAGTTCTGACATGAAACATAAAGTATATCAGGTAACTTTGTCATCACCAGATAAAGTATATCGATGAGAAAGTAAAATAATGATTTTTCATAAAAGAAATTTTCTTAGTGACAAAATTTCGAAGATTGCCTATGATACAATATTTGATGTAATATTTTAGCCTTTTTAATGATAATAAAGCATAAAATTACTGAAAAAGACTTAGAAACTAATCATCCATATGTCAGAAATTAGAAAATTTCTATTACCACTATGATCAAATACGTAATCGCATTTTACATCATATTATTATTGATTTTCTAATAATATAATCTATGATTGTCTCATTGATTTCACTTTATGAATAATGGTTTTTCAATAGAGGTTTTCGTGTAAGCAAAAAAAAAATTTTGTCTTTTGAAGAATAAATGAATAAAATATGTTTCTTGTTTATTTAGAATTTCTATTATTTTTAAGTTTAAAACGAGGTTTTACTTATTGAATATTAACCTAGGGGAGAAAGTTCAGATGTGGAATTTTCAGCACCTTTCGGTATTGAAATGCTTCCGCATATGTGGAATT